CTTGCCCAGCTCGGGACAGCCCTGGCTCACATCCCCACCTCGGGCAGGCGGGAGATGCGTCTCTTCGGGGTGCAGGTCTCCATCATCGAGCCCGGTGGCTTCCAGACGGCGGTGCTCGACCCCGCGCTGCTGGTGAAGGACATCACGCGCCTCTGGGAGCGGCTCCCGGCGGAGGCCCGGGCAGCCTACGGCCCCCAGTACCCAGACAGACGTGAGTCCATCCCCACCATAACCCCCGGCGACCCCACCGCCACCAGACTGACCCCGCTGTGCCCACCCAGTCGCCAGGAGCGCCGTCCTCGCGCACCGCCTGAGCCGCTCCCGCCTGTCCCCCGTCACCGACGCCATGGCCCACGCGCTGCTGTCCCGCTGCCCCCGCAGCCGCTACGCCGTGGGCTGGGACGCCCGGCTCCTCTTCCTGCCCCTCAGCTACTGCCCGGCCTGGCTGTCCGACACCCTCCTGGGCCTCCTGCTGCCCAGCCCGGCCCCCGCACGCCCCTGAGGACGGAGCGGGACACGCTGCCCGATCCTGCGCCCCCGGGATGGTGCTCAATAAAGCTGCAACGCTGGGGCTGCTTGTGGTGCCTCTGAGGTGTCTGATGGCCCCCTGGCCACGGTGCTGGGTGACCCCCACCCTGCGGCAGGACCCCAGAGCAGCCACATACCCAGGGATGTCCCAGCTCAGCCGGCAGGGAACGTGCTGGGAACGGCAGGGTGTTCATCCATCCCCCGGGCACGTGGGTGGTGATCCCTGCGCCACTCATCCCGCTGATTAAGGGCAGATTAGCTGGGGGGCACGTCCCTGAGGTCGGGCACTGGAGCAGTGTTAACAGCAGCCCCCACACGTCACGGTCCGGGTGTCCCCAGGGCCTGGGATCAGCGTGATGAGCTCCTGGGAGGTGACACTGCGGCCTCCCTGCCCCGGGACACCTGTGCTCGCATCCCATCCCTCCAGCAGCATCCTGGTCCTTCTCAGTCCCAGAGTTCTGTGTGGAAATTCCCTCTGAAACAGAACCAGCACAGCATGCCTTCCCTCTCTGGGGGAGAAGGGGGCAAAGACCCCCAGCCCCTCAGTGGCAGAGCAGCTCCTCACCACCCTGGTGGCCTCAGCTGAGCCAAAACGTGCCCAGGGTGAGCACGAAGCTGCCAAGTTCCTGTTTGGAAACTGGGCCCTGGGTCCTGCCAGGGCCGGTACCTGCACACGGGGTCACCGGGCTGGGCTTGTTGTTGTGAGACCCGACTTATCAGTGCCCTCGTGCTTCCCCGCTCCGGCCATGCCTTCCTTCCGAGCCGATTGTTCATCCCAAAGTCTTGTCTGCGCTCGAAAAGGGAGATTTCCTGCAATTGTTTCACAGGACTTGCAGCTCGATGCAAAATTTTCTGCCTATCAGCCCCCTCCCCAGCACCAGGGCAAGGCTCGAGCCCCCTCCCTTCCCCTGCCAGACTGCAGGGCAATCACAGCTCCGTGATTAATTGCTGCCCTGGCCAGAGGTGCCTCTGTGGTGACATCCATCTGCCACCGGCGCACTGCCTGAGCAGAGAGTTCAGCCTTCAGCCCTTTTCTCGTCAGATGAAGCCCTGAGCTCACCTCAGTATCGTGATGGCACCGGGGACAGCTGGTGGCACCTGTCCCACAGCCCACCCTTGTGGCATTCCCAGTGCCAGGGTAGGGCCTGGCCTGGAAGGGTCCATCCCAGAGGATGCATTTTCCCTACAGCAGGACCCAGGCAGGATCCAGCCCCCGAGCCCAGCAGGGGGGTCGTGGAGGGGACCCTGCAGAAGCCTCGGGGACACCACTGCACCCCCAGGCACCTGCAGCTTCCACCCCGACACCTGCCCAGGGCCTCCCTGTGCCCCGCCCTGCGGCCAAATCAAAAGGGAGCCGAGCCCTGGGGCTGCAAATCCAGTCAAATGTCACCCCCGCTGGGCTGTCTCAGGATGTTGGACCACGACGGTCATTTCCTGCCGGGAAGTGGCCACCAAGCCCACCCCGAGCTCCGCTCTCCAGAGGCGCGAGAGCCGCTGAGCTGAGAGGATCCCTGAGCTCCCGAGCAGCCCCTGCACAGCCCTCGCTCTGCTGCCGGTGAGCAGAGCTGTCCCTCTCCCCTGTGTCTGTCTGTCCCTTCTCCTGCCCTCCTGTCCCTTCTCCTGTCCTCCTGTCCCTTCTCCTGTCCTCCTGTCCGCTCTCCCATCCCTCTGCCCCCTCTCCCATCCCTCTGCCCCCTCTCCCATCCCTCTGCCCCCTCTCCCATCCCGTCTGTCCCTTTTTCTGTCTGTCTGTCCCCTCTCCCATCCACCTCTCCCCAGTCCCACGGGTCTCTCGGGACCTGCAGTGTGGAGAGGGTGGGAGGTGGGGCAGCCTTGGGAAGGGCACGTCCAGCCCCTCCACGGTTTTGGGAGCGGTTGGGTGTCAGCCCCTTGCCCCAGGGGTGCTGCCGTGGTGGGGGACACTGGGCTATGGCACTCCTGACTCACCAGGGTCCAAGTTCCACAGGAACACCCCGGCAGCCCAGCACGCTCCCCCAGCTTTCCTGAGGGAATGGCTGGTCCTGAGCTCTTCCAGTGCTCCAGGGCTGGATGGGTTCTGTGGCATCTTTGCCGTGCTGATGCAGCGGTACTGGGATCAGAGATCTCACTTGAGGCAGCAAAAGGATGTTGAGGTCAACTGCATTTCCCTTAACTTTGTAATTTTGTCACCTACTTGGAAGTCCCGACAGCTCCCGGCAAAGCAGCTGCTGGACGGGCAGAGCCGGTGAGGGACCACACTCTGAGGACTTGGGAGGGGACGGGGCCTTTCCTGCTTGAGTGGGGTCTGGGCCACAGTCACCGGTGTGTTCAGTGGCCAGGGCACCCACCCATGCCCCAGGCCAGGCTGTGGGACAGGAGCAGCCACCAATGGGGCTGATGTCTGTGGCTGGCATTTAGTCTGGGACGTGAGAGCATCACCTGGGCAGACACGGCGCCTTTTGAGGGTTGATGTAGGGAGTCACCATAGGACTGAAAATCGGGTTAAAACCCCCCAGAAGGGTCTGAGCCCCATGCAAGGACCGAGTTCTGTGTGTTCTCAGCATTCTCCCTTTCCCTGCAGCACCGGGATGGCTGAGATGACCACGACCCCCACTGAGACACACACTGTGCCGAGTGAGTATGGGGACTACCACAACTGGTCCGAGCTGTTCCACCTCCTGAACCACACCTACACCTACTGCGAGTTCAGCCTGGACGAGAACATCAGGCGGGTGATCCTTTTCATCCTTTACCTCGTCATCTTCGTGGTGGGCTTGGTGGAGAACCTCCTTGTCATCTGGGTCAACTGGCAGACGCGGGGCAACAAGAGCTTGGTCAACCTCTACATCATCAACATGGCCATCGCCGACCTGGGGGTGATGCTCTCGCTGCCCATCTGGATGCTGGAGGTGATGCTGGATTACACCTGGCTCTGGGGCAGCTTCCTCTGCCGCTTCACCCACTACTTCTACTTTGCCAACATGTACGCCAGCATCTTCTTCCTCACCTGCCTGAGCGTGGATCGCTACGTGTCCCTGACCAGCTCCTCCCTCTTCTGGCGCCGGCACCAGCACCGCGCGCGCCGCATGGCCTGCGCCTGCAGCTGGGTCCTGGCCGTGTCCATCCCCTTCCTGGAGGTCGTCCACATGCAGCTGGTCAACACCGGGGAGCCCATCTGCATCTTCATGGCCCCCTTAGAGACCTACGACGAGTGGGCGCTGGGGGTCAGCTTGGCCACCACTACCATCGGCTTCCTCGTCCCCTTCCCCGTCATCGCCATCTTCAACGTGCTGACCGCCCGGTTCCTCCGGCGCACCAAGCCGGAGAGCCGGAGGCACTGCCTGCTCATCTACGCCTACATCGCGGTCTTCCTCGTCAGCTGGCTGCCCTTCCACGTCGTGCTGACGCTGCTCGCCCTCGACGGCACCCACATCATCCTCAACTGCACCTTCGCCCAGTTCCTCTACTTCTTCTACGACGTCGTAGACTGCTTCACCATGCTGCACTGCGTCGTCAACCCCGTCCTCTACAACTTCCTCAGCAAGAACTTCCGCAGCAAGCTCGTCTCCGCCGTGGTCAGGTACATCCCCAAGGACCACGGCGCCCAGAAGGGCGCTGGCAACTCCTCCTCCACCACGCAGCACTCCATAGTCATCTCGAAGGACAACCACCCCCCCAACTGAGCGGGGACGGACTCTCCCACCCCCCGTGGCAGCAGCAGCGGCTCCCTGGGGACACTGGGATGGGTTTTCCTGGTGACGAGGAGACACTTTGCTTTGGCACAGCCTCTCTTGGCCGGGCAGGGCAGGGTGCCAGGCACGAGGGGAGGTGGTGCAGGAGCTACAGACACCTTTCCCCTGGAGTGCTGCTGTGTCAGATCTATTTAGCCGAAGAAAGAGTCAGAGAAAGAGAGATTCCCTGTTCCCCAAAGAAAATCTTCGCAGTAATAAAGTAGTGAGTTGCTTCACTCAGGGTCCAACACAACCCCACCCCTGGGATTTGACCCCCGTGCCCCCAGACTGTCCCTGACACCTCGAGCAGGAGGGAATCACCCCTTTGGAACACAAAGCTCCCTCCCCACCCCCAGCAACGTCCAGAGCCTGATCGTGGAGAGATGAAGGCGAGGCAGCCGTGGGGGCTGAGCAGGGCACAGACCCGAGCTGGGACGAGGGGAGGAGGGACTGGGATTCGAGATCAGCAGCTCTATCAGTGATGGTTAAACTGGGTTTGACCAGGCAGGGCTGCTCCAGACTAAGGGCTGGGGTCTGGGTTTGGGTCCCCCATCCCATTAATGCAGCCTCCTCTGGAGCATTCCCTTACTGGTATTTAGGGTCCCTGGGTGCATTTCTCAACATTCCAACAGCCCTTCCCCTCCCATCCAAGTCCCCGTGGGAGTGTGGACACGTGCAGAGATCCTCGGAGCTGGAGAGAGGGCTGGGCCTGTGCTGTGCAAGGAACTGCAGCATCAGAGAAAGTTCATCCTCCTCTGGAGTCTGACCTTCGTCACGTGCTGCGGGTCGAGCCCTCGGCGGGGGAAGGTGACAGAGCGACAGGCCCCGGGGTCCATAAATCTACCAGAGGCCTTGAGCTGCTCGAGAAACACGTGAAAAAGCAGAGCATAAGCAGTTCTGGGGGCAGGATGCTGGTGGCACGGGGAGGAGGGGGGAGCAGGATGTTCTGGGGGAAGCCCAGGACCGGCAGTTAACACGGATGTGGGGTTATCACGGGGCTCACTGACTCTGCCGCTCCCAGGGGTCCTGCAATGGGGTAAATCCCTAAATACCACGAGGTTCCTTCTGCAGGGACATTCCTGCATCCCCCAGGGACATTCCTGCATCCCCCAGGGACATTCCTGCATCCCCCAGGGACATTCCTGCGTCCCCCAGGGACACCAGTGCTGAGGGTCTTACACAGGAACACTGGGAAGGCACTGGCCCCTCACCACAGCAATTCCCTGTCCAGGGCAGCAGCTCAGGCTGTTCCCTTCCTTAATTCTGTTACTGCCCCGGGCTGAGGATGAACTTGGGGGTCTTCACCCGCAGGACCCCACCACCTTCATCCCTGAATCCTCCCTGGGCTTCTCTTTGCCAGTTCCCTGCCCCTTCCAATGAAGAAATGGAGGGCAAACACACAGCAACAAAGCAACCTGATGTGTGACATGACCAGGGCAACAATATATTCAAGTTACTCAAACATGTAAAAAACTTGGTGTTCGACCCATTAAACTTTATTTTTAACTCTCTTAATTTATCTGCAACTTTGTCCATAGATCTCAGGGCCAGAGTGGCCCTTAATTAACCCACCCCCCCAGCCCCAGGTGGTGACCCAGCCTGGCCCCCAGTGACTCCCTGCAAAGCCTCCTGTGGGACACACGGGCTCCTTTACCCCCCAGACCACTCACCCAGTGGTTCATCCAGGCACACAAACCCTGGGATTAATCGATGGGGGGGGGGGCTCTGCTCCCTCCCTGCTGCTGCAGCCCCCTCCCCTCCTCCCATCCCTGCATCCCACGGGAATGCCACGACCCCTTGCCCTGTGCCACTCCCAGTGCTGGAAGCCACCAGGAAGAGCCCTGGACCTGCCCCAGGAATCCTGCTGAGCACAGCACGGGAGCAGGACACGGGGATGGCCTCACGTGCTTCCCAGGCATTCCCGAGGAGATGGGAACACCGGGATGCACACGGGGAGGAACAGGTTCTACAAAGAGGTCAACGTTTTCCGTTTTATTATTCTAAATAAAAACCACACTTTGTGCTGAACAATGGAGTAGAAAAGAACCCGATGTACAACGATTTTAGACATCTACGATTTGGGGGGGGGGGGAGAGTTTACAAAATATACAAAACTTTACAGCAAATAGATAGTAAACACTTAAATAGCAGGAGGTCAGTACCTACGATTAACTTAACGAAAAGGTTAGACAGCAAATTCAACCCTTGTTCTTTCTTCTGCTTCATTACTCTGACGAGAGACCTGGATCTGTTGGGAACGGGGAAGATGAACTCTGTGCTGGGGGTGGGCTCGGTGCCGGCCCCAGGAGGGGGGTTCCCTGTCAGAGCTCCCTGGGAGGTTTCAGGACCCGGCATTTCCTCTCTGCATCCCCCTCTACCACCCCAAAGCACTTGGCAAACCCCTCAGGCTGGCCCAGGGGAGGTAGGTGGGTGTCCCTGAAGTCACTGAGGGGAGCAGGGACAGGAGGGAGCAGGAACAGAACCAGGCACGGAGCAACCGCCCTGCCGCTCCCAACACGGAGCTGAGCGTGGACCTGGAGCTCCCAGCTGGACAAGGGGACAGCAATCACAGGGGTGACACCCCTGTACAGGACCAGGACCCTCCCAGAGGGAGCGCTCAGGTCTCTGACCTCCCTGAGGAGGAGCAGAGGCAGGTCCAGCCCTGTCCCCCTGTCCCCTGCTGCAGGATGATCCACATGGCAATGATCCACTATATCAAACAGCAGTTCCAGGGATGGGAGCTGGCTCCTGCTTTCCCCCCAGGGCTGGTTGTGCCCGTTAAGTGTTTCAGTGTAAAAGCTTCTCTTTTTGGTTAATGTGCACACAAGGCTTTTGCTTCACAGCTTATTGAAATCCAGGGCTGCAGGTGCTGTGCCCCGACCCTTCCCAAAGCTCACCACGGCTTCTGGAACGTTCCAGGAGGGTCTCAAGGCTCTCCCAGCCTCGTCTGTCCCTCACATCCTTCATTGTCACCTCTAGAGCAGCACAGGCCGTTTCCATCCCTGTCCCTGTCCCCAGTCAGACACAGCCCTGAGTTCTGTGCTTGAGGGACCCTGTGTGAGCACAGGGAGGGGACTGGGTGACCTCCAGCGATCCCTTCCAGCCTCATCCATCCCATGGTTCCACGAGAGAAACCCCGGAACCCAAAGAGCAGCTCAGAGGAGCCCCCATCGAAGCACCGCCAGATACCCCGATTCCCAGAGCCCCAAGCTTTCCCAAAACAATCCTCTCTTTTTTTTTTTTTTTTTTTGTAAAACTTAACCACGCTCAGCTGAACACAGCTCTGCAGCGATCCCAGAGCCAGGACCACGGCATCGGAGCTGGGAGCCCAGAGCTGCAGCAGCCAGGCCAGCCCAGGGCTGACCTGTGCTCCCCTCCTCCCACCGCAGGCTCCAGGCACCCCCCGCTCCCGGAGGTAGGTCGGTACCAGGGGAGGTACCACCCTCATTTTACAGATGAGGAAACTGAGGCAAAGAGGTGAATTGACTTGCCCAAGGCCCCGGCGGCGTGGGGGGAGTGACCCCCGAGCTTCTCCGAGGACACGTCTGGCCCCTGCCACGGGACGTCCCTTCCCAGGGAAGGGGCAGCAGGGTGAGTTTTCCCAGGGTTTGCAAATCACTAGTTTAGTTTAGTTTAGTTTAGTTGAGTAACAGCAAAACTTGACAGAAGCGCGGGAGCCCATCTGTGACCACCGAGAGCCCCCGAGCGCTTCCTGTTTGTGAGGTAGAATGAGTTCCCGAAGGGCAGCCCGAGCTCGGAGTTATCTGTTCCTCCCCACCTCTGCCCCGCAGCAGGATAACATGGGAAAAAGCCAATTCCCACCTTTCCTGGTGTAAACACCCTCAGCACGGGCTGAGCTCGCTGGTGGGGCCAGGAGAGACCCCCCCCAGGATCGCCTGATGCGGGGCTGGGAGAGCCCCCCCTGCCAAGGGACCCCCAACTCATGTTCAGGAGAGACCCCCGTGCCCAGGACAGCCCCCTGTGCCCAGCAGTGCCTGGCACGTGGCCGGAGAGGCCACGCTGGGGTCCCCAGCAGCCACCACTGCTGTGGCTCCCGCTCTGTGAATGAACTCCCATCGCTCCAACAGCGCACGTTGGCCACCAGACACGTCCAGGGTGTGGAGATCCACGGCGGGGGAGGGAGGATCCCTCCAGCAGGAGAAGGGCCCTCGAAGGTACCTTCCAGGGAGTTAAGGCAACAGCTTCATCACGTCCCAGCCGGTAGCCCCCGGGACACGGCAGAGCCGGGGGATTCCAGCAGCTCTCCATGGCCACCACCAATCACCTCCCAGGGACACGGACCTGCTTCCCCTCCCTCTCCGGCCCAGAGGCTCCTCCGGGAGATCCCTGTGCTCGCGCAGGGGAGGTTGTGTCGGTTGTGTCGGTTGTGTCGCTCCGTCTCCTCCTCAGGGCGCGAGCGAGCGTGGCACAGCCATGGAAACCCAAGAATCCCCCTCCTCATCCGCACACTCACACGCTTCCTGCTCCTCTCCCCGGCGAGCCAGCGACGGCCAATCCCAGGACACACTCGGCACATCTTCTGGTAGTAGCAGCAGAGCCCCAGGGATGCCCAGACTTGTCTTGTCTTTTCTTTCCTTGTTTTCTTTCTTTTTCGTTCCTTTCCTTCGAGTCCAGCACCTGCTCTGGCTCTGTTCCTCTCCACTGAGGTCAGGTGTGAAAATCTTAGCAGCATCAGTTTGTGGACAAAGCTCAGGGTTAGCCTGGTTGAGTGGGCTAGAAGGCTCAAAAAAATAGAATCTAGACTCAAAAACTAGTGAGAAATACTAAAAACACAGAACTCGATGGCCTCTAACAGGACCAGAGGTAAGTAAACACGACAGACTCCTTGAAACAGTGATGTACCTCACGTGCTGTTAACTTGTACAACGCCACCAATCTAAAAAAAAGCCCTAAACAGGCACAAAAAATAAAAATAAAAACAAACAAACGAACCAACAAACAAAAAACCCAAAAAGGAGAATTCCATCCATGATGCCTGACCATTAAATAAAAAAGAAACGACGCTTTTTTTTTTTTTTTCCCCCGCAGCTTCCGCAACGAGCGCTCGCTCCTCCCGCCTCGCCCCCAATCAGCTATCCGTGTTCTTCTCGGCCTCTTTGGAGTGGATGATGTACATGAAAGTCTGCTCGATGGTGAAGTCCGGGGGCAGGCTGCCCTTGTGCACCCCTATGTGCTTGCTCATGAGGTTGAGCGTGGAGCTGTAGTGCCCGCACACGGTGCAGCGGTACATGAGGGCCCCCGAGTGCGTCCGCAGGTGGCACTTGATGGTGGAGCGCCCGCGGAAGAACTTGTGGCACACCTTGCACTGGTAGGGCTTCTCGCCGGTGTGGATGCGCCGGTGGTAGTTGAACTCGCTGGTGTGGGCGAACCTCTTCCCGCACACCTTGCAGCTGTACTTGCTGTTGCCCGGCTGGCTCTGCAGCGCCAGCTCCTCGCTCAGGAACTCCTCGGGCAGCTTCCTCTTGGGCAGCCCCTGCGGCTGCAGCCGCTCCCCGAACCCCGCCCGCATGTCCAGGCTCCCGCCGCACTTGTGCTGGCTGACGTGGTACCGGTAGGCCGCCTCCAGCTTGAAGCTCTGGCTGCAGAAGTGGCACTGGAAAAGAGCCTCCTCCACGTGCTGGTGCACGGCCAGGTGCTTCTCCAGGAGCTGCCGGTCCACGAAGCTGTTGGCGCACACGGAGCAGGAGAAGACGGAGATGCCCAGGTGGGACAGGGTGTGCCACATCAGGCTGCAGAGGCTCAGGTGCCTCTGGTCGCACACGCCGCACATCTGGCTCTTCAGGTTCACGTGCTCCAGGAGGTGGTTCCGGACGGTGTGGAAATCTTTGGCCAGGGGCTTTCCGCAGGCAGCGCAGGCCAGCTCGGGGCTGCCCCCTCCCCCAAACACGGCCACCTTCCCGGGCAGGGGGTCGCTGGGGTGGACGACGACGTTGTTGTCGAAGACCCCGTCCCGCCGGTGCAGCGTCAGCTGCCACTGGGTGAAGAACTTGGTCTCGCACATGTCGCAGGAGAAGAGGAAGATGCCGATGTGGGACAGGACGTGAGTGACCCTGGAGTTGCGGTCCTGGAAGTGGGTCTCGCAGACCTTGCAGTTCCCGGTGAGCAGGTCCACGTGGTCCCTGGCGTGCTGGCGGATCAGCTGGATGTTGGGCTCTAGCACCTTCTTGCACACCTGGCAGGGCATGGCCTTGCTGTCCCGGCCGTCGCTCTCGAAGGCCAGTTCCTCCTCGCTGTCGTCGCTCAGCTCAATCACCTCCTCGGACGGGCCCAGCTCTTCTCCAGCGTCCTCAAAATGCAGTTCGGCCTCTCCCAGATCCTCCAGCTGGAGCTCATCCATCTGCTCGAATCCCTGCTCTTTGGAGTGGTCACTGTTGCTGGGGCAGGAGTTGCTGCCCATGGAGACATCCAGGGACGGATCAGCGGGGAAGAAGCCGCCCTTTCCGTAGTCGCCGTTGCTCTGGGCCTTGTACTGGGGGCAGGAGCTGCCGGTGGTCTGTGCCACGACGTTCCCGCCGGGCTGGGCCCCCAGACCCGCGGCCGGAGCGAACTGCCCCGGATCCGGCCCCTGCTCCATCTTGGGAGGTTGCTGTGGATGCATCAGGGGAAGAGCCTGGCTGGCTTCACCCACGGGATTCCTGTCATCCTCCTTGTAGGCCACGTGCAGGAGGTAATTCCGCTCGGGGCCGAAGTGCTCGGCGCCGCTCCGGACGTCTCCCAAGGAGTGGCTCTGCTCCGAGGAGGTGCTGCTCAGCGGCCCTGCCCGGCCTTCCCCCACCGACAGGGAGGGCTGCTTGGGGATGGCCGAGCTCTCCAGGTCGGGGAAGGTGGAGTGGCAGGCCTGCAGCAGGTCCTCCATGCCCAGCCGCTCCGCCACCTCGTAGATGACGCCCACGTTGATGAGGTCCGTGAAGAGCTCCGAGGTGTACACGAAGCTCAGGATCTTCTCGAAGTTGGCCGGCGTGATGAAGTCCACCACGTAGGTCCTGGCAGCGTCCAGCCCCGTGTTCAGGAAGAGGTTCTGGAAGTAGCCGGCGGCGCAGGCCAGCACGGCCTTGTGCGCGGCGAAGGAGCGGGAGCCCACCAGGATGGTGACGTCGCACATGGTCTCGGAGAGCCGGCACTTGTTGAGTTCCTTCAGCAGGTTGTTGGGGTGGTTGGTGCTGTGCAGCTTGATCCTCATGCCCATCTTAGCAGCTGCTTGAGGGTCCCTCCTCCCGGTCAGCTTGGCCTTTACACCTTCATCGGCGGCGGGAGCAGGAGCTGTGGGGCAGCCAGGAGTGGCAGGGCAAGGGGCTCTGGAGAGGGGAAATGCAGAAAAATGGTAGCACTTAAACAACCAAAGTAACACCATTCTGGTCATACCTCCCGTTTTCCGCCTTCTGGATGAGCCACAGAGCGGCTGCTCAGCTGGAAAGGGACTGAACCTGCCTTGTCACCTCACAGACCGACGTCTTAAGAAGTGAAAGGGCAGATGCACAAAGGGGCAAACTCAGAACGAAAAGCCACTGACTCTGCCCCAGGCAGCTGAAGGTCCCGCTGCTCTCTGGGCAGGGACAGAGATCCTGCTGACTCAGAGACCCAGCTGGAGCCTGTTCCAGCCATCTCCCCTCTTCCTGAGCCAGGGACAAGGCTCCTCTCCAGAGGGATGACACTCAGGCTCCACACACCGGCCAGATTCCTGTCCGGATCTCCTCCAGCCACCACCACTTCATTCTGCACTTCAGATCCCACCTGCACCCACACGGATACTCTGGGTTGCCAGGTGGGATCTCAGCTCGGATCCTCTGTGTTCCAGCCTCGGGGGCTCTCCTGGGATTTCTCCTCTGCTGTGGCACCTCTCAGTGCAGATTCCCTGGCTGCCACCACACCTGTGGCACGGCACCGGCCATTCCCACCCGAGTGTGTCCCTCCAGCTCGTCCCGCTGCCTTTGCTACCCTGTCCTGCTCAAGGATGCTCCAGCAGCTCTTGGGACCCCACAAACTTACCCAGGGAGCTCTATCCCTAATTCCCAGCCTCCTCCTTCCCGGGATGGGGAACAGCGAGCCCGGAAGGCAGCAGAGAGCGGGAGTTTGGAGGGGGCAGGAGAGGACGGGGCTGCTCCTGCCCCAGAGCCAGGGAAAGGACCTGAGGAAGGACCGTCCTCCCCCGGGGAAAACCGCCGGCAGCTGGGGAGGGCGAGGATGGCCGGGGAGGGCTCTGCAAGGCAAACGCTCACCAGGGACAATTCCTGCGGCGTGGGAATCCCTGCGGAGGGGATGGGACAGAGGGGAAAAGAGCGGGAGAAGGGATGGGGGCGCGGGGGGCAGCGGAAAGGGGGGGCGCGGACGGGCAGGAGGGGGACGGGGAGTCGCGAAGCTGCTCCGGGAGGAAAGGGAGGAAGGGAGAGGGGGCAGTGGGGACCCCCGGGGGGGCCCAGGGGAAGGGGGAACGCGGGGCCACGGTGTGGGGGGGGGTGCAGCAGAAAGGGCCCCCGGGGGGAGCCACGAGGGACGGCGGGAGGCCCCGGGGGGGGGACCGCGAGGGGTCCGCGGTGCTGAGGGGCGGCGGGGGCCGGGGCCGCGGGCGGGGGTCGCTCCTTACCCGCCCGGCGCCCCGCACCATCCCGGCCCGGCTCACACAAAGGCGCCGACCCGCCCCGCGCCCGCCCCGGCCCGCGCCGCCTTCCGGGACCCGCCGCCCGCAGCGCCCCCGCGGGGCGGGGAGGACCCCGCGCCCACCCCGGCTGGGGAGGGGACACGGACACGCGCGGGGGGACACGGACACGGGCGGGGGGACGCAGGCACGGAGCGCTCCGGGCCAGGCACAGGTCGCTGCAGCCCAAAAGCACGAGGACCCAGCCCTGACGTCCCCGCGGACACGTCCCTACTGCCCCATCCGCGTGGGCTCTTTCCCGCAGCCCCATCCCCGTGGATCCGTCCCCGCAGCCCCATCCGCGTGGGCTCTTTCCCGCAGCCCCCATCCCTGTGGGATGCCCCAACCCGGTGCCGGCGGCGCAGCCAAGACACAGAGACGGTGTTTGCGCGTGTCCCGCACAGTCACGGGTGGGTGTTTAGCGGGGCAATGCGGGTATACACGGGTGCGCGGACACGCGCGCGGGGCGGGACGGCCGCGCTCCCGGAGGGGTCCCACGATGGCTCCGTGGGCGGCGGCGCCCGGGACTCCCCCACAGCCGGTCCCGCGGCCCCTCGGTCGTGGGGGGCTCGTCCCGCGGCTCACAGGGCTCGCAGCGGAGCCTGACCGGGCGCGGGGGTCCCTGGAGAGCACCGGGGGGCCGGGCCGCCCTCCCCCCGCCCCGCCGCTCGCCCGGGCTCCGCCGCCCGCTTCCCCATGAGCCCCACGAAGAAATCGTGCATGTCCCCTGCGGAGAGACCGGCCGTCAGCGGCCCCGGCCCCGCCGGCGGCACCGGCACCGGCCCCGGCCCCGGCCCCGGGCGGGACTTACGCTTCTGCGGCGCCGCGGGGGGACCTGGAAGAGAGCGAAGCGGGTGAGAGGGGCCCGGGCGGACCGACAGCCCCCCAGCCCGAGCCCCCTCCCGCCCCTCACCGGCGCCCTCCTCCCGCAGCAGCTCCAGCGCGGCGGCGGCAGCGGCGGCGGCCCCGGGGCTGCCGCGGGCGCTCCAGGGCAGCGCCTCCGGGTCGGGCATCCCCTGCGGGAGCGAAGCAGATGGGCGGGGTGGGAAGGGATCCGAGGGGCTCCTGGGGGTCCGGGCTTCGCCCGCCGCCCCCTGTCACGACGGCCGTACCTGGGCGGGGGGCGCGGGACCCTGCGGGGCGGCGGCGGGGCGACGGCGGGCGAGGGCGAGCGGCAGCGCCAGGATGAGCAGCACCGCCAGCACCGGGCGGCTCCTCATCCTCGGGGTGGGTTTGGGAGCGCGGTCAGCGGCGGAGCGGCGGGGTCCGGGGCCGCCCCGAGCCGGTGCCCCCTCGGCGGGGCGGCCCGGGACGAGCCCGGGACCAGACCGGGCTCTGGGGAGGGAAAGCAGCGAGACGGGAGACAGGGGGACGGGGGCGACGGGACCCCCGCTCGGGCCGGAGAGGGAGGGACCACACAGGTGTCCCGGGGAGGGGGCTGCACCCCGGGGGTGCCTTACAGGGGCGGGAGGGGGAGCTGTTACGGGGTGTGCAGGGGGACACGGCCCTGCTGTGGCCCCGGGGGTCCCGTGTCCCTACTCGTGCCCGTGGGACCACGTCTGTGCTGTCACACACTGTTCAGACTGCAAACACGCAGAATCGCGGGCACAGCGGGCATGGGCACTGTCCTGCACATTCACCCGTGTCAGCACACAGCTGTCCCCTGGCACACACATCTTGCCCACAGCCACACTTGCTTCCAGAGCCCCCCCAAACCCTCCCCGAAATCCAAGCAACACCTTCACCCCCTCTCTCCTCCCTCCCGTGCCCTCCTGAGTGCCACCCCGAACCTTCCCCTCTTCCCTGTGCCGTCCCTCAGCCCCAGCGGGACAGGGACAGACCCCACGGAGGCTGGGAAACCCCCGGGGCTGCAGGCCACGGGGACACAGACCTGCCGAGCCCTCCGGTGCTGCCTGGTGCGTGGCCAGGGGCCGAGAGACCCTCGTCACGGGTGGCTGCAGAGCAGGGACGCTTGGAGGATCGGTGGGCAGCAGCGGTGGGCAGGGTGGTGGGCAGCAGTGGTGGGCAGCTCCGGTGGCTCCCCCAGCAGGGGCTCAGCCGGGAGGCAAAGCGCGGCGGCACCAGCTGCTGCGCGGCATTAAATAGGGGGCTCTGCCCATGGCACGGCGTGGGTGGGTGAGAGGAGAGCTGCCAATGGGGGCCGGGGGGGGGAGTGGAACCCCCACCCTGCAGATTCACGCCCACGCAGGCACCGTGACACCGACAGCACCCGTCGCACATGCAGAGTCACACGGCGACACGCGTGTGCCCACGCGCCGCTCCCTGCCATGCCCCGGGCTGGGGGGTCAGCACACGGGCACGGTGCCCACGCAGCCCCTGGCCCTCGTTATGTGGGGACACGCACCCCGTCACGATGTGTCTGTTGGCGCGTGTGGGGAACACGCAGGGTGGGATGGCCCTGGCTGGATGCCGGACGCTGCAGCCGGGATTTGGGGTCCTCGCAGCACGGGGGGATCAGCCGTGGCTCCCACCACGCACACACGTGTTCATCTGCGCACACAAACACGCGTGTGCCCGCACACACGCACCTCGCCCCCTGCCCAACTCCCCCAGCCCCGCTCCGGTGCTCCCGGCCTGCCCGCTCCCTTGCCAGGACGTGCCAAGGTGGAAGATGGGGAGGGAAATTCGGGGGGGTGTGGGGGGAAGTGGAGGGGTGCGAGGAAAGGGGGAACAACTGGGCCAACAAGTGAGAGGCACCGACTTCATCCCAAGCAACAGGTGGCTGTGGCTGCTCGGGTGGCTGCGGCAGCCCCCCGGGAGGGCGGCCGGCAGCGGCGGCTCACGTGGCAGCACAGCCCGGGGCAGGGCAGCATCTGCAGCGCCTGGAACGTTAATTAAACCGGAGCCTGGCCAGAGATGGTCTAATTAATTAATAACACCTACTTGTGCGGTGCCAAGTGCGACGCAGCCGTGAAGAGCCGCTGGCGCCCCGGGCTTGTTTACGGCTGTCGCCCCTCGCCGAGGGAAGGTCCCTGAGCGGGGACGTGACGGAGCCCGCGGGGGGAAAGCGGGGAGCCCTCGGCTCCGGGGCACGTCGGGGCCGTCAAGGGCCCCCACGCACACGCACGTGCCCCCCCACGTGCGGGAGCTGCCCGCACATGCTCCCCCTGCACGACAAACCGTGTGCCGGGGCCCACCTGGGAGCTGGCGCTGATGGTGACGTGACGGGGAGCTGGCAGCTCCCGAAGGTAACGCGGGTGACGTGTGGGGACGGGAAAAGCCACCCTCTCCGAGAGCTTGATCAGTGCAGGGGAGAAAAGGCGAGGGGGGGGACACGCCCTGGGGCAGGGGCTGTGGGCTCCGGGGGGCTGCAGGAGTGGCGGGGGTCCTGCAGGTCCTGGGGGGCTGCAGCGTTGTCACTGGGGCTGGGTGATGACTCCCCTCTGACCCCTGTCCATGCCACCGGTTCCCAAATGCAGCTCCAGTGCCAGCCCGTGTTGGGAGCAACCTGCATGGGGGGTCCTGCAGCGGGGTGGGGACCCTGGGCAAGGGGGATGGGGCTGGCCAAGCAGGCAGGAGGTGCCAGGGACCTCACGTGCAGCCCAGAAATTGCCTCTGCAGCAGCACGAGCCAGGAGCCACTTAATGGGAAAAGTGGCCGCAATTTGGGGCCTTTCCAATCCCCAGGAGCCGAGCGCCGGCCACAGTCAGGAGGCAGGAAAGGCGGGAGGCCGTGCTGGGCTCTGCCCCCCAGCTCCAGCAGCGTGGCACCGTGTCCTGGGGCGCTGGCATGATGGGATCCCCCCACCCCACCTGGAACGGGGTCACCCACCGTGACACCAACCCCGTACCGACACCTCAGCATCCGTTTAATGGGTTTGGAGTGATTCCTGGGCACTGCCAGCACCCGGTGGGGCAGGGAGATGACACTAGGCAGGGTCAGGGGTGCCGGTCCATGGGTGGGGGCCTCTGTGGAGGGTGGGGGTCCCCTCAGTGCACCAGGACCTCCATCTTATGGCTGCCCTTCTTCTTGCAGATGGGGCCGTCGGTGCCGGCCTTGGGCGACTCCACCACGGTGACAGACATGTCACCCTTCGGGAAGCGGGTGGAGAACCTGGAAAGAGGGGCAGGATGCAGGGGAGGGGGCAGGATGGAGAGGTGGGGTGGGGACACGCCGGGCCCCCCCCAGTGCCCAATTTGCTGCCCTGGTGACACCCATCTCTCAGGGGCTGCCTCCCACTATAGCCCTGCCCTGTCCACATTAGTCCTGCCCTTCAGGCCCCGCCCATGGCAACCACACCCACCACAGCCCCGCCCACCACAGCCCCGCCCGTACTTGTCCGTGATGTGCAGGGTCAGCGCCTGCCCCGTGGTGGCCTCCAGGGTCTGGTGCAGGCGGGTGACCAGCTCGATGAGGTGGTCACTGACCAGCAGGAAGTCGCCCTTGGCCCCCACCGTGGAGACCTGCGGGGTGAGCAGGGGGTCAGCCCTGCTGGGGACCCCCAGAGCCCCCAGGGACCCCCCTCCCCAGGTACCTCCTTGAGGTGCAGGGCCAGGAAGCCGTCGGAGAAGCGGGTGACGGAGACGCTGCGGATGTCACCGAGGCTGAGCACAGTCTTGGGCTGGGCGGCCTTGGGGTCAGCCAGGACCAGGTGCTCGGTTGTGAGGAGCAGCAGGCGCGGCACCGTCTGCGGGCGGGGTCGGGGGGGGCGTGGGCAGGGTGGTCAGAACGGGCAGGGGGTCAGCGTGGTCCTGTAAAGCCTCCAGTGGGGACAGGGCGAGGTGGGGGGGCTTACCTTGCCGTTGGCTCTGTTCACCTTCCTCACGGTGTCGGCCACCAGCACCTTGTCCTTGGCCACGGCGTGGAGCTTCTGGTACTTGGGGTTCTGCTTCAGCCCCAGGTAATCGCTGCGGAAGGGCTGCTGCACGCTGGGGACGAGGCCGTCAGCCCCTGCTGTCCCGAGCCCCCTCAACCCCCCCACAGCCCCCAACCCTGGCACCTTTTGGAGTAGAGGGTCTTCTTGTCCTTGAAGAGCTCGCTGGCGCAGAGCTTGGCCTGCAGCTGTGCCCGGCGCGGCGCCGGCAGCTCGTCCCGGTACTTCTTGCACTGCCGAGGGAGGGGGAGATTTGGTGCCGCCCGAGACCCCCCGGGATGGGCTGGCACGGAGGGGCACCGGATCCCAACGGGCATTCCCCCCCCCCACCTGCCCCTGCCCCCACCTTCCAGTGGTAGAAGATGCTCTTCAGCTCCTGGTCGGCCTCAGCCAGGAACGTGTAGGGCGCAGGGGGCCAGGTCCGGTCCATCACCGACAGCGGCGGGAGGTTCTTGGCCAGCCCCACCAGGTACCTGCAGGCCTGGGGGTGACGGAGCAGCGGGGGGTCAGGAGGGGACAGGAGGGTCCAGCGCCAGGGTGGGGCGCTGGGAAGGGCCCCTGTCCCCCCGTCCCCGCTCACCAGGCGCCGGTAGATGAAGTTGGCCAGGAAGGCGCTGGCGCTGGTGCGGAAATACTTCCTGTACGTCCTGCGCGCCTGCAGAGACAGTGCCAGTGAGGGTGGGGACGCTGGACATGGCCACCACCCCACTGCCAGCCCCCCAAGGACACGGGTGTCCCACCCCCCTGTCCCCATTTGGCCCCAGTGGACAGGACAGGGGCTCCAGCCCGACAGGGTGGGCGGGAGCTGGGTGGGCAGACAGACAGACAGCCCGGACACAGCGCACAGACAGCAGGACAGAGGCAGCAGGGGCCTGGCCCCGGTACCTGGTACCCTCTCCAGTGAGCGGCGATGGTCGTGGCGGCCGCGTGGCGTCGGCTCTGGTTCTTCAGCTCCCGGAGGAGCCGGCGAGACTGCGGGGGCGAGAGCCCAGGGGGCCCAGGGGGGAGACACCAACACAGATATGGAGCAAGAGGGAGAGGCAGGAGAGAGGCAGGAGAGAAGGATGGAAGATGGGGAGAGGAGATGAGGGTGAATCCAGTCCCCCCATGGGACACATAGAGCCCCCGGTCCCACCGTGGGGCACCTTGTTCCTCCCCACCCCGTGCCCCCCACCCTCCTGCCCACACCAGCCGACCTGCCAGCCCCGAGAGGCCCAGCCCTCACCTTCCAGCCCCGCGCGTACGCCTGGAGGATCAGTGCCGACCGCTTCATCTGCTTGTACCGGTTCTTTTGCTGCAGGGGGAGAGGGGGGATGAGCTGGGGCAGCTTGGGAGAGCCAGGGGACGAGGGACGGGCAGGGGAAACATGGCCAGGACTGCCCTTCCTCACCATGTGGCCCCGGAACCAGGCAGAGATGAGGATCTGGCTCTTGCGCATCAGCTGGTACTGGGTCCGGCACCGCCAGCCCCGGAACATCTTCTGGATGAGGGTGACGAGCTGGGCCACGCGCTCCTGGCGCCGCCGCTCCAGGTCGAAGAGCTGGGAACAACCACGGTGAGCACTGGGGCACCGAGCGGGGACAGGGACCCCCGGCCAGAGCCACTGCTGGGGCTGCAGCATCGCCCAGGGAGCCCCCCCAGGGCGAGCTTGGATCCCCCGGGACCGCCCCACTCCCACACTCACCGTCCGTGGTGAGCGGATGAAGATCTTGGTGTGGCCGAAGGCCAGCTCCTCCTTGGGGTACGCCAGCTCTGCCAGCAGCACCTCGGCCCCCTCCCTGCACCGGGGGGGGGCACAGACGAGCCCGGTCAGAGCCCCTCCTGCAGCCCCCTGGCCCCGCGGTCCAGCCCGGCCCCATTACCTGTCGCTGCCGGCCCAGCGGGGCCAG